GATTTACAGCATCTGCAGTTCTTTTGGTTTTTAAGACTTAAAAGGGACCTAAGGGGAAAATTTTTCACGCAGAGGGTGGTGCGTGTGTAGAATGAGCTGCTAGAGGAAGTGGTGGAGGCTGGTACAATTACAACATTTAAAAGGCATCTGGATGGATACATGAATAGGAGGGGTTTATTGGGATATGGGCCAAATGCTGGCAAATGGGACTAGATTAATTTAGGATAACTGGTTGACATAGACAGGTTGGTCCAAAGGGCTTATTTCTGTGCTGTACATCTCTACGTCTATGACTCTGTGACGGATCAAGTGGAACCCGAATCAATTCATTCTCGGAATGTGGTTATAGATGGTTAGACAGGAACTTATTGCCAGTCCTCAGTTGTTTTGAGGAGTTAGTGGAGATTGAGGTAAAGGGTAGTCAAGAGTTGTTCTTGTTTGTGTTAGGCTGGGCTCACATTTAGACCGAAGCTGGTAAGGACATGGGAAGTTTCATTCCTTAAAGGACTTGAGTGAACCAGTTGGTGATTTAAAATAATCCTCTATTGTCACTTTTTTTGTTTTACTAAAACCACGCAGACTGCGTTATGGGATTGTTACATACTTTTTTTGAGAATTACTACGTAAAGGTACAAACTGAGTGCGGTGAGGTTTTGCTTTTACTCCTGCATCGAGAAACCTTGAGTGATTTGAAAAGGCTGTCAGCATAAATAATTTATGAATTTTATGCACAGGGCAGCCAGCCATTTGTTTTGTTTTTTATTTGGAAGCTCAGTCAATTGCAGCCAGAATCACCCAGGAGGGACATGCGAAGACCAAGGAAGAGATGAAATGGAGAAATATGATTCCGATGGCTGGCACAGTGATGAAGATGTGCCTCGATCCTCGTGCAGAGTACCTGCCCCCCCTACAGGTGAGTTTCAAAATAGCAGATGCTCCGAACCAAATGCTCAGTCAAGAACATTCCATCCTAGGTATGTTCTCCTGGAAGAGTCTAATGATGACCAAGAAACCGGTGTCGATTCTTAGGAGAAACCTATCTGGTTCACCAATCTCCTTCAGGGAAGGAGATCTGTCGTCCTTACCCTGCCTGGTCTACACATCAATCCAGACCCACAGCAATGTGGTGGACCCTTCACTGCTGTCTGAGCAATAAATGGTGGCCTAGCCAGCGAGGCCCACATCCTATGAATGGCCTAAAACAAAAGACAAGGGCCTTGGCTCATTGCATCCTGAGCTGTTCATCCTGGTAGTGTTTTTGCCGGGGCGGGGTTTGCTGTCACCTTGCAGTCTCATAGAAAGTGGAGGGACAGACCCCAAGTCTACCTCAGCTGGAATAGGAGTAGTACCTTTGTAGTTGGCACTAACCTGAAATGCCTACTGGTCACCTACCCAGCAGACTGAGCCATTCTTCCACCAGGAACCTGAAGCTAAGGGGAAAGAGCCATGACTGGCCCAAAAGAAAGTGGAGCCTGTGGTGGAGAATTGTAAATTATAACTATGCTGAGTGAAAATTTCAAACAAGTAACTGTTACGGCTAATTATTTTAAAGGTTCACGAAACACATGTGTACGAAGGAGAAGCTAGAGTAGGCCAATCGGTCTTTTGAGCCTGTTCTGCCATTTGATAAGATCATGGCTGATCTGTTTGTGCCTGTACTTTCCTGTCCGTCTAATTTAGCCGTGAAAATATTCAGTGATGCTGCCTTTACTTCCCTTGAATTCCATAGATTCATGACTGCCAGAGAGAGGAGAAAATGCTTCTTCATCTCCATCTTAAATGGGAGACCCTTCATTGTCAACCTGTACTCCTAGTTCTTTGTCTCTCCTTCTCAGCTATTAAAAATGTCAAGGTTGAAATCAAAATCCATGAATGTTCAGAGTTAATTTTCAGCAAATGCATTTTTCTGACACTCAGGTGAACTGTGGCTAGAACAGAACTTTAGTCTCTGTAATACCTTGCTTTCCCTTTGTGACCTCTTCTCTCTCCACAACTGTCCATCTTTTGGTCGTAGCCAGCTATAATGCAGGTCCCTGGTGTCAGCTCCCTGGCTTTAGTGGTGTCACAGAATGGCAAAGCTGTAAGGCTCATTCCAGAGACCTGAGTCATAGAGTCATACAGCACAAAAACAGAACCTTAGGTCCAACTCGTTCATGCCAACCAAGTTTCCCAAACTAAACTAGTCCCATTTGCCTACATTTGGCCCATATCCCTCTAAACCTTTCCTATTCATGCACCTGTCCAAATGTCTTTTAAATATTGTGCTGTATCTACCACTTCCTCTGGCTGTTCATTACACACACGAGCCATCCTCTGTGTGAAAATGTTGCCCCTCAGGCCCCTTAGACATGTTTCTCCTTTTGCCTTAAAAATATGCCCCCTCTTTTTGAACTTCCCTCATCCTCGGGAAAAGACCTTTGCAATTCACCTTAACTATACCCCTCAAGATTTTATAAACCTCTATCAGGTCACCCCTCAACCTCCTATACTTCAGTGAAAAATGTTCCAGCCTGTCCAACCTTTCCTTATAACTCAAACCTTCCAGTCCTGGCAACATCCTTCTAAGTCTTTTCTGAACCCTCTCCAATTTAATAATATCCTTCCTATAACAGGGCGACCAGAACTGGACTCAGTATTCCAAAAGTGGCCTCACCAATATCTTGTACAACCTCAACCTAATGTCCCAGCCCCTATACTCAATAGTCTGAGTACTAAAGGCAAGCGTGCTAAACACCTTCTTAACAACCCTGTCTACCTGTGACACAACTTTGTAGATGAACCCCTATGTCTGTCTGCTCGACAACATTACCTAGGGTCTTTTCATTAATTGTATAAGTTCTGCCCTTGTTTGTTTCACCAAAATGCAACACCTCACATTTATTTAAATTAAATTCCATCAGCCATTCCTCAGCACTTTAGCCCAATTTGTCAAAATCTCTTTGTAATCTTAGATAACCTTCTTCACTGTTGACTTCACCAACAATTTTGGTGTCATCCGCAAACTTATTTAACCAAGTCTCCTAAATTCTCACCCGAATCATTGATAAAAATGCAAATAAAAGTGGACCCAGAACCGATCCCTACAGAACACCACTGGTCACAGGCCACTAGTCTGAAAAACAAGCTCCACCACTACCCTCTGTTTCCTACCATCAATCCAATTTTGTATCCAATTGGCAAGCTCGCCCTAAATCCCATGTGATCCAACTTTACTAATTAGTCTACCATATGGAATCTTGTCAAAGGCTTTACTAAAGTCCATGTAGACAACATCTACCACTCTGCCCTCATCAATCTTTTTGGTTACATCCTCAAAGAAATTTCATCAAGTTAGTGAGACACAATTTCCCACTGTCAAAGTCATATTGACTATCCGTAATCAGTCCTTGTCTCTCCAAATGTATGTAAATCCTATATCTCAAAACACCTTCTAACAACTTACCCACCACTGATATCAAATTCACTGGCCTATAGTTCCCAGGCTTCTCCTTAAAGCCTTTCTTCAATAAAGGCACAACATTAGCCACCCTCCAGTCCTTTTGCACCTCATCTGTTGCTGTAGATGATACAAATATCTCTGCCAGGGGCACTGCAATTTCTTCCCTAGCTTCCCACAACGTCCTGGGATACACTTGATCAGGTCTGGTAGGTGTATTCACCTTTATTCTTTTTATGACCTCCGCACCTTCTCTTCAGTCATGTGGACTGTTTTCAAGACAACAGTATTTATTTCCCTGAGTCCTGTAGCCTCCATTTCTTTCTCCACAGTAAAAACCGATGCAAAATATTCATTTGGTAGCTCTCCTATCTTCTGTGGTTCCACACATAGATGACATCTCTCAGCTATGTTTCTGTAACAGCAATGATGTCCCAGTCCCATGTTCCCATACATGCCCTGAGTTCATCTGCCTTACATGTTAGATCCCATTGAAATAATTACAGTTTAATTCTTCAGAGTAACCTCAATCTCTGACTTGCCTTTTCCAATTAAGTTCTCTTTTTTAATTCAGAGCCATCCTCATCAATGTCTCTATTCTCACCACTATTCAGGAAACCCCCATCCCCTGCTCAATACTAGTTTAGAGGCTCCCCAGTAGCACTAGCAGTTCACTTCGCCAGGATATTGGCTCCCCTCCAGTTCAAATGAAACCCATCCATTTTGAACAGGCCTTTTCTGCCCCAGAGAGATAACAATGATCTAAAAATCTGAATCCTTGCCCACTGCACCATTTCCTGCCCTATCTTATTCCGATTCTCATTGGTGCGTGTCACTGGCAGTAATCCAGAGATTACTACCTTTGAGGTTCTGGTATTTAATCTCCTGTAATCCAGTCCATAATCCACATTGATGCATCCATGTAGTACTGAGAGAATGTTCCATGATGATGTTACTATTGACATTATAACAAGTTCTCCTCTGCCCTTTCAAATGGAACTAAGATACTTCATGGCACTTCTGGAGAAAGAACAGGAAAGTTCTCCCTAGTTCCTTAGCTAATGCTTCTCCTTTAGCCATTATCATTGAAAGACATTGGTCAGTATCTCAGTACTGTTTGTGGGACGTCACTGCATGCAAATTGATTACCATGTTTGTCTGTATTAAAACCAGAAACTACGTTTCAAAGGTATTGGTGTGTCTTGAGTATGTGAAAGTGCTCTATAAGTTCCATTTCTTTCTTAATCAAGAATTCACAGAAACAATCAGGGGAGGCGATGGCTGAGTGGTATTATTGCTGGGCTATTAATCCAGTAACTCAACTAATGTTCTGGGGACCCAGGTTCGAATCCTGCCATGGCAGATGGTGGAATTTGAATTCAATATAAAATATCTGGAATTAAGAATCTACTGATGGCCATGAATCCATTGAAATACCCACTGGCTCATTCATGTCCTTCAGGGGAGGAAATTTGCTCTCCTCACCTGGTCTGGCCTACATGTGACTCCAGACCCACAGCAACGTGGTTGACTCTCAAATGGCCTAGCAAGCCACTTAGTTGTACCAATTGCTACAAGGGCTCCTCAAGGGCAACTTCTTTGTTACCCCCCCTTCAAGGGCAACTAGGGACGGACAATAAATGTTGGCCAGTGAGTGATGCCCACATCCCACAAATGAATTTTAAAAAAAAGTCACAAATTTATAACAATGAACATGGTCTAATTTGGTACGTCAATGAGTGAGGTACAGACAAAACCATTTTGTGTACCTCTTCCCACGATAACAACGATCAGGATAATACTTAGTTGCCCTTATACCCCTGTTTCTAGTTTCTTAGCTTTTGCTTATTTTCCAAATGCTACAGAAAGAAAAAGGCAATAGAGACCCATGATGTCAGTGGTCCAGCCCTTTAAGCGCCCCCAAAGTTTACAATGGTCGAAGTCACCACTGCTGGTCCTTTCTTGTAATAGAAAAGGGTGACAGGAGACTGGAAGGTGTTTATGTCAGAAACCCATGTAACACTGTAGCAGCATTTAAGTAGCCACTTGTATTGCCATTGCTTCCAGGGCTGTGGGCCAAGAGCTTGAAAATGGGATTAGTGCAGTCAGATCTTTGTGGACTGACATGGCCTCTTTCAGAGCTGCAAATGTCTATGAGAAACAGCCCCAGCAAACGTTCCTCACTGTACATTCGCAGAGTGAGCAATTTCCATTGTTTGTTCCATTATCTGGATGAGATTCTGCACACAGATGTGGAGGGTATGTCTGATAGGGTATGGCAGCAATGTGGACCCATAAGATTTACTCATTAGTGACGGGCTCGGAGCCTTTTCGTTGTCTGTGGAGTGAAAGCAGATAGCTCCAGCCCATTACCCAGCACTGCAGCTACAGGCCTCTCTGTGCTGCTCACTCTGATTCCAATTCACTGCATACGCAATGCCTGTAAGTGAGATTGTCCCAGGGTGCCTGACTGGGCAAACAGTCTGGGGTACTTTGTTCAGAGATGTACAGCTGTACCCTCAAGGGAGGACTAGGAGGGCTAACAGGGCTTGGGTGGCATGGTGGCGCAGTGGTTAGCACTAGGCAGTTCAATTCCAGCCTCAGGCAACTGTCTGTGTGGAGTTTGCACATTCTCCACGTGTCTGCGTGGGTTTCCTCCGGGTGCTCCGGTTTCCTCCAACAGTCCAAAGATGTGCAGGTTAGGTAGATGGGCCATGCCAAATTGCCTTATAGTGTCGAGGAATGTGCAGGCCGGGTGGATTAACCATGGGAAATGTGGGGATATGATGGGGGAGGTGGGTCTGGGTGGGAGTCTCTTTGGAGGGTCACTGCAGACTCAATGGGCCGAATGGCCTACTCCTGCTCCTATTTTCTATTTTTACAAAATGCGCTGTTCATTTGCAATGATCCAAATGACTTTGTACATCAAGGTCTTTCTAATGTGGATTTGCTTTCGAACTTCACCAAGCTCTTTATGTTTCCCTCTGCATGCATTAGGCAAGCCCATGGTGTCAGAGGTCGAGTTGATCGGTTGGCCTGTGGTGAAGGCTCCATTGGGCAGTAGGTACTCTGGAACGAACCTAGAGACTCTCATTGGAAACCTTCATCTGCAGCTGGAACACCAGCAACCTCTTAAGGAGTTTATGGTATGTCAGTGATCTCCACATGGATTATGCTGCAAGTCTGTATTTGGCCACATGGACAACATGACTCAGCCTCTCGTTTCCTCAGGGTTGCTCACGCTCCATAACCTTTTTTGTGGGTGGGAAGGTAACTAGAGTTAGGCCTGGATCGAGGGCAATGAGTGTGCTGAGTGTAGAGTCAGTACATCAACAAGAACTAAGTCAATAGCTTTTCTGAAGAAGGGTCCCCACCTGAAATGTCAGCTTTCCTGCTCCTCTGATGCTGCCTGGCCTGCTGTGTTCCTCCAGCTCCACACTGTGTTATCTCTGACTCCAGCATCTGCAGTTCTTGCTATCTAAGTGAATACTTGTGAGGTTGAAAGACCATTGAACGTTGAGTTGGTAAACCTGCAGAGGTGGAGATACACAGTTGGGAGGCCAGTCAGAGTTAGTGCCAGGTCAAGAGAGCAAGGGCTTTTGAGTGAGGTGACGTCTAGGTGTTAGCTAAACAATGAAATGCGAATTAAATTTCACAAACCTTTCTGAACTTTCATTTGACAGTCTGGCAATGTGGGGAAAGCCATTTGAGAGCTTAGAAAATATTATGTCTTAGTTATATGCGCATTTTAAAACACTTAGGTCGTATGACTTGGTTTATGATATTTACACTACATTGTTTGTACAGCAAGATTTATGTAGGGATTGACAGTTTCATTACCCCAATCATTGAGAAAGAGTTATGGAGACTGCCAATCCCTGCTGCAATCCCCCTGACAATAATGACCAATCAGACTCGAGATGCCTGATCTAAGGTTAATCGGTTAAGACAGAGTTTCATCAAATTTATTGACAAATTCGTTTGCAAATAGATATTAGCTGCAGACCTTTAATGATTATGGGGCACCATTCACATTTGATTCTTCCAACGTATGTTCCCATTCCACCACTCACAGCCTTATAATCGTGTCGCACAGAAACAGGCCATTCAGCCCATTGAGTCTCTTCAGACACTTTAAACGAGCTTTCAATTAACTCCCAAACTCCAGCACTGTCACAATAATCACTGGAAATCCTTTAAATCTGGGCATCTCCTGGCTCAATACAGCCACAGAGAGTGAAGTAATGGGGCCTCAAATTTAAGCAGGCATAACTAACATGTCTTTAATCTAATGTGTGGTTTTAAGACTGACAAAGGTGATTCACACTGAAAGAATGGGAGACAAATTGTCTTCCAGTGACAAGTACCGATTAGGTTTGTTCTTGCTGCGCTAAAGTGTGGTTCATTCCACCAAAAGGCTCTCGCTCTGTATTCTTCACACGAGTGAGTGTGGAGTGTGTGACATTAGTCAAGCAATGAGCCAGATGAGTGGTGGTTATGGGTACAATGAGAGGTGGGTGTGAATCAGCAAGCTGGTTGTGGATGTTAAATTGATGGGAATTGAAATCACAGGCTACGTTAAGGTTGTGAATAGGAGTCAATCTGTTCCAGTTCAATTGGAATATCATCATTGGATATGACTTGAGTGTCTCTGAGATTGGGAAGTGAAGCAAATAAGATGGAATCAGCCTCCTCTCCTCGGAAAATGTGAGCTTCACATGCAATTAATTCAATGTGCTGAATAGAAGATGACAGTGTGCCTTGGCACTTTGTAGCCACTTATCTTTTAGTTAAAAGAAAATAAGGTTAGAATAGAAATGAGCATCAGTCCTTCGCTCTGACAATTATCAATCTTGCAATTTTGCAATTGGGTTGTTCCTCGATAGACTTTGTAATAAAATACTCAAATAGAGCAGCGTGTTAGAGTATTCAAAGCTTTGCCAGCATATCATTGCTGTGGCATATATTTGTCTGGGAGAAGCTGCTTGAACAGTGAAGATCCCCTGCAGCAGTCAGCAATATCTGCCTGTATCACTTAGTGTTGTTCAACACCTTGTTAACCCAATGTGAATAACTATCAATTGAGAAGTTTAATATCATGGGAAATGGAATTCAGCTTATTTTGTTCACCCACTTGTGAATGCACTGTTTATCAGCTATTGTAAAGTCAAACCATCTGGGGAGTATATTCTAGGTGCTAATGCACAACATCTATGTTGTAAATATAGGATTTATCGTTGCTGCACATCCTAGTGGGGCTATCTTTGGATGTCATCAACTAACCGTCTTCAATTTGTCAACAACAGTTATTATTTTCTGCAGCATTCCTCTCCCCTCTGAGTCTTTCTATATTAAGAATTGTTGGGACCTATCCCTTCCCTATGTTTCTTTCATAAGATTCTCTTGCCATCTCGTAGAACAGGATCTGTACAGTAATGGAAGCAGGCCATTTAGCCCATCAAATCCACACTGACCTTCCGAAGAGCATCCTACCTCGGCCCATGCCAACCCTGTAACCCTGCATTTCCCACGGCTAATCCACCTGAACATCCCTGCACACTGCGGGGAATTTAGCTTGGCCAATCCACCCAACCCGCACGTCTTTGGACTGTGGGAGGAAACTGGAGTACCCGGAGGAAACCCATGCAGACATGGGGAGAATGTGCAAACTCCACACAGACAGTCACCCGAGGATGGAATTGAACCTGGGTCCTTGGCGCTATGAGGCAGCAGTGCTAACCACCAAGCTGCTCTCATTCCTGTCCATTCCTCTTTCACCGTCAGGAGTTTGTCGTTCTCCTGATTAAGAAGCTCAGTTGGTTCCCTGCCAGAGTGGGAGCAGACCCTGGGTGTAAATAAAACAGGACTGAGTTCATCATTCGAGGTGGACATGAAGCCTTAAAATGCGGAGGAATACCTGGAGATTGTGCAGTGCTACAGCCATCAGTGACCAACAGCAAAGGTGACCATGAATCCATATTGTACTTGGCAACAATAATCTCTACACTTAATTGAAGAGAAGAATTTGAAGCATTTTGGCATTAAGGGTTTTAAATGATTGCTCTGGGAGAGAAAATAGAGATGGAGTCGTCTGTCATAAAATCACAAAAATTTACTGTACACAGTCTGACAAGATCCAGCCTAATCTCACTACCTAATTCTTGCTACTTTGCCTTTTAGGCATACTTACTTCAAATGCATATCTCAGTGCCTTTACTAGTGTTATGGGGGTTAATGCAGGGGCATTTAATTTGGGGTAATGATGGCCCAGTTGTACTGACATTGGCCTCCAGAGGCTGAAGTTAATGCCTCAGGGTCCCCCACAGCAGTTGGTGGAATTTAAATTCAACTGATAACATCTGGAATTGAAAGCTCACTCTCAGTTATGGTGACCATGACACTATCATCAGTTGGTATAAAAATCTATTTGGTTCACCAATGGCCTACATGTGACACCTGACCCACAGCAATGTGCTTGATTCCATCTGGCCTCTGAAAAAGTTGAGCAAGCCACTGAGTTTCAGGGGAATTAGAGATCAGCAAAAACACTGGCCTTAGCTGTGAAGTCTACATCCCATTGGACAAATAAAACTGAATCACCTCTGAACCTCCTACTTAGAGTCATAGAGGTTTACAGCATGGAAACAGGGTCTTCACCCCAACTTGTCCATGCTGCCCAGTTTTCACAATTTGCTGAGTGCAGGCAATTGGGACTAGATTAATTGTGAAAACTGAGCGGCATGGACAGAAATCAACATCCCGAGTATTGGACTCTTCGACAAAGGGGAATAGGGGATTCTTGCCTTTACCTGGCCCTGTCATAATCTTGAACACTTAAAATAGGTCTCCTCTCAGTCTCTGTACCTGAAGAAAACAAGCCTGCCCTGCCCAATCATTCCTCCTGTCTACAGTTTTCCAATACTTGAGGTTAAAGTGCTGAGCGCTTGTCTTTTATTTGTGAAAAGAATTTGATTTAAATTGGTTGAAATGGAGATGTCAAGGTCTATACTGGTGACATGTCACAACAAAGGGAAGACATTTGCTGCTCTTTCAAAATAGTTATTCTCTTGGAAATGAATATAATATTTCAAAAGCTAGTTGCATAACCTGTGCTCTCACAATATAGTTGGAAAGACACATTTAATTTGCTCAGTAGAGGTTGACCGAGGTGATAGGCTTATTCATGTTGTATTAACAGATTGTCCATTATCTATTTATGACATTTGTTGAACTGTGTCTTTGAACTCTATTTTTGATTGACAGCTTTGGGTGGTTATGAAAGCACTTCTTTAGTCAGCCTGATCAAAGAAAAGGAGACCAAAAAAAAATCAAAGCCATTTTCCCTTTCCTGGGCCTGTTGTTTGATAGCAATGCAGCAACATTTTATAATACAGAACATTTTCAATTAAAATTTTCACCATTAATAGGGTGGCCCAAGATTATTGAAGGCATCTGAACAGCATGTTAATTTAATCTTTTTTTCATTTAGATTTTAGCTATGTCCTAAGTTCACAATCATTGCTAAACATCCTAGCTATAAAATGATTTTTTATATCAATTTTTTTCTATGCTGATTAAAAAATTGCATTTTCAAACTATTGCATTTTTGTTAAAAAGTTTGTTATTTCAGTCTCCATTTTAATCCAGCGTGAACACCCACATCACTTATTTCACTCTTCGTAAAATTGCAAGTAAAGAAGGATATTTAGAGGTTATTATTAAAACCCTGAGGAAGGGACCCAAAACGTTAACTCTGTTTGTTCCTTCACAGGTGCTGCCAGACCTACTGAGCTTTTCCAGCAACTTTGTTTTTGTTAGGGGTTATTATTGTTCAGTTTGCTGCCTGAGAAAATACTTGAATGGGATTGGCTGCCTAACTTGCTGGGTACATCATCTTAACTTAGCAACAGATTCAAACTGATGTCAGGAAACACAGAAATTGCTAGTTCTGCGTGTGTAGCTGTCTTAAAAGTCATTGGCATACATATCCCTTAGCACTTGGCTGCAAAGATCAGAGCCACAATGTTATTTCACAGACAGATCAAGTAATGTGATTGCACCATTGTTAATCTAATTAACCTGACACATGTCCATTTAGCATTTAGTGAGCTGTTGCGAATTACATCCCTCACATTTCTCTCTCTCTCTCAAAGGCATTGGAGCACCTGAAACCAATCGATGACTGTAAAGTGGGAAAAGCTCCAGAAAACAGGGAAAAAAACAGATATAGAGACATCCTGCCTTGTAAGTAATTTCACCAAAACAAACAGCATCACAAGTCAGGAATCCTTATTATATAATGGCTAGGAGGTAGTAAGGACTGCAGATGCTAGAAGTCAGAGTCGATAAAGCGTGGAGCTGGAGGAGCACAGCAGGTCAGACAGCATCGGAGGAGCAGGAAAGTCAACGTTTTGGGTCTGGACCCTTCATCAGGACCGAGAAATAAATGGAGGGACGGGGTTGTGGCTGAGGAAAAGGGAGGTGGGATGGTGGTAGGTGGATGCAGGTAGGGGGTTGTAGAGATTGGTCATTGGGAAGAGTGGAGTGGATAGGTGAGAAGGAAGGTGGAAAGGTTTTGTCAGGTCATGGAGTCAGGGATGAGAGGGAGGGCTGGACATGGGATGAGGCCGGGGGTGGGGAGATTTTGAAGCTGATCAACTCTATGTTGAGGCCGTTGGGTTGTAAGCTCCTGAGGTGGAATGTAAGGTGTTGTTCCTCCAGTTTACATGTGGCCTCGTTTTGACAGTGGAGGAGGTTCAGGATGGACATGTCACCAACGGAGTGGGAAGAAGAGTTAAAATGGCTGGCAACTAGAACGTGCAGTTGATTATAGCATACAACAGATGCTCCACGAATTGGTCATTAAGTCTGCGGGGAATATGAGTTCCCCGATTGAGGTTGTTAATCTAGTCTGATCAGGGAGCTCTGGCTGACATAAAAGGATGAATGTCAGGGATATTGACTCAGTGAGTGTCAGTGCTATTGTCAAAGGCTGTGCATTTGTAAATAAAGGGTCATTGATGATGGGATGCCACCCTCTGAAGAGTTATTTTAGTTCGGCCAATGTGTAAGATGATGAGTCCTCTGTGAAATTTGCACAGCTCCAGCACTGGAGTCTTTCAGGTGCAAAGTCGAACCAAGGGCCCAACTGTATACAAAAGATCCCACAGAATCATAGAAAGAGCAGCCAGGGAGTTCCAGCCCAAAATTTCTCTTTCAACCAAGACCTCAAAAACAAACTATCTGGCACACTATCTCACTGCTGTTTGTGGAAGCTTTCTGCGTGCAAATTGACTGCTGCATTTCCTACATTGCAGAAGTGACTACATGTCAAATGGCTGTGCAGTACTAAAGACAGGAAAGGTACTATATAAATGCAAGATCTTATATTGATTAGCTTTTTCTTATTTTTTAAAACTGAGGGATATCAAAATGCAGTTGAAGCGGGAGTGACTGTTGATGGTACTGTCTTTCAGATGAGAAATCAAACTAAGGCCCTGCCTGCCCTCTCACATGGATGTGAGGATTTCTGTACCAGTCACTCAAAGAAGGACAGGGCAATTATTCATGGTGTTGTGGCCAATATTTATCCCCCAGTCACTGTGAATGAAACAGAGAATATCTGGCCATTAACTGATTGGTTTGATTTGATTTATTATTGCCACACGTACCTAGGAAAAGTAAGAAGTTTTGTTTTGCGTGCAGTACAGGCAGATCATACCATACAAAGTGCATTAGGGTAATAGAACAGAGTGAGGAACACAATGTTACAGCTGCAGAGAAGGTGCAAAGAGAGCAAGATCAACGTTTAAATTTAAAATTTGAGAGGTCCATTCAGAAGTCTGATAACAGCGGGGAAGAAGCTGTTCTCGAATCTGCTGATATGTGTATTCAAAATTTTGTATCTTCTGCCCGATGGAGAGGTTAGAAGGGATTGTAACTAGGGTGGGAAGGGTCTTTAATTATGTTGGCTGCTTTCCTGAGGCGATGAGAAGTATAGATGGAGCCAATAGATAGAAGGTTGGCTTGCGTGATGGAATGGGCTATGTTCACAACTATGTGTAGTTCCTTATGGTCCTGGGCAGAGCAGTTGTCCTAACAGGCTGTGATACATCTGAATAGGATGCTGCTTGTGAGAGGTTGCTGTGCACAAATCTGCCGCTGCATTTCCTACACTACACTTCAACTGAACCTCAGTGATTCTTTTGAGATGTCCTGAGGCAGTAAAAGGTGCCACGTAAACACAGATCTGATGATGGTCAAAGCTCTCCTCCACTGGAGTTTTCTTCATCTCATGCCTGCATCTGTTATAGATTAATTAATCGTGATTAATTGCTATGATTAATTAACAATTTTGTAATCACCGTAATGTACAAGAATACCAGAAGGCAAGCTAAAGGGGCCTGGCTCTTTTTGCTTTCCTTCATTCCTGTGCAAATGGGCACAGCTGAAGGAAATGGAACAAATTCTGTCAAATTTTAATCTAAATACCTTTGCAAAGTTTGGTATCACAGTGCTTATTTTATGGATTTTTACAGCTCTTTCTTAGCAGCACTAATTAATATCATACATCATCATTCCGTTGTGTGTGACACAATATTCCCCGGGACTGTCACCTTGAGCAAGACCAAGATTTTCTGCATGAACTCAAACTTTCACCGAGTCCGTTCACCCATCATCCCCATGCCCACTGCTCAACATTGTTGTCCAGTCCACAAACAACTCAGCTTTAAAACTTACAATGTATTTTTCAGTTCCCTCTGGAGCTTCCTTTTCTATCTCTAACCTCTGTGCTCCAGCCGTGCACGGTCTCTGCATTACTCCAGTTGTCTAAGAGGAGCAGTGCAGGTTGATGATATCATGGAAAATCAAGCAAAGCACAGGAATTCACTTGCAGAGGATTTAGAAAGTACAGCAGAGGAGATATATAAATTGGGATAGACCATACTCAGAGCACTGTCTGTGGTTCTGGTCTTCATATTCCCTTTCTAGTAGTTCTTCCAGTTGAGGAGGATACTTGCCAAAGAGTACAGTCCATGGTAGAACCCTCCCTGTGGAGGTTTTAACACAAGAGCAGCATGGTGGCTCAGTGGTTAGCACTGCTGCCTCATAATGCCAGAGTCCTGGGTTCGATTCCGCCCTTGGGGAGCTGTTTGTGAGGAGTTTGCACATTCTCCCTGTGTCTGTGTGGGTTTTTCTGGGTGCTCTGTTTTCCTCCCACATCCTGAAGATGTGCCAGTTAGGTGGATTGGTCATGCTTAAATTGCCCCATAGTGTGCAGGCTAGGTTGGTTAGCTGTGGGAAATATGGTGATAGAGTCTGGGTGGGATAGTCCTTGGAGGGTTTGTGTGGAATCAATGGGCTGAATGGCCTGCTTCCACACTGTAGGGATTCCATGAGGAGACTGTTGTACTGCAACTACTGCACTGCTTTCCCATCATTACTGCCTGCCATAGGTGTGTTATCCATAAGGTTATACATGTTGATAACCAACCTGTTGGTTCACCTTATAAACAAAGCTTTCTATCACTATCAGGTCCTGGAGTGGGATTCAAATCTGGAGCTTCTGGCCCAGAGGTAGGAACAGTAGCGCAAGACCTCCCAAGTTCACCACATTATGAAGAGGAGAAAAGACTTCAAAGAATAATACCACTATATTGACCAATTGGGATAGATGGGACAGTCTGAGGCTCTTTTCTCAAGAGAACGCCGAGGGATAACCTCATAATGGTCTTGAAAATTATGAAGTTCAATAGGACAGATGTTGAGAAAATATTCCCACTTTTGGAGGAGATCAAAGCTAAAGGCCATAAGTTTAAGGTAGTCAGTAATAAATCCAATTAAGGAACTCGGGAGAAACATCTTTATTGAGAAAATAGTTAGTGCTGTACTCACTACCAAAAGAAATAGTTGAGGCAAATAGCATAAATGCATTTAAGGAGAAGCCAGATAAGTGTGTGAGAGAGAAAGCAATAGCAGGATATGTTGATGGAGTTAGATGAAGAACATGGAACTATTGGGTCGAAAGGCTGTGTTGTATTTTTTATGTAATACTCTGCACATGAGTTTAGCCATCGCCATTGCAAAAACACATTTGTTTTTCGATACCTCAGATGATAAAACCCGGGTTCAAATTCAGGGCCAGGGCTATATCAACGCAAGTTACATTAGGATGCCGATTGGGTCCGAGGAGTATGTATACATTGCCTGCCAGGGACCATTACTGGGCACCACTGACGACTTTTGGCAAATGATCTGGGAAACGAAAGCTGGCGTCATTGCGATGATGACCCGGGAGCATGAGCGGGGAAAGGTCAAGTGTCACAGATACTGGCCTGATAAAATGTATAAACCAATGAGAGTGAACAAGTACCACCTCATACTGGAAAATCACCAGATCCTGGATTCCTTTGAAATAAACGCCATGAAGATGACAGACAGTGAGGTAAGGAAAAAAAATCACAATAATCATGAGCACATTTCTTTGCTTCGGCAGATTGATAGTTGAGTTGGATGCACCAGTTGGATGTTTGAGGTGACATGATGGCTCAGTGGTTAGCGCTGCTACCTCACAGCACCAAGGACCCGGGTTCAATTCCACCCTCTGGCAACTGTCTGTGTGGAGTTTGCATGTTCTCCCTGTGTCTGTGTGGGTTTCCTCTAGGTGCTCCAATTTCCTCCCACAGTCCAAAGGTGTGCAGGTTAGGGTGGATTAGCCATGCTAAATTGCCCACAGCATCCAAGAATGGGCAGGCTAAGTGGATAAGCCATGGTTACAGAGATAGGGTAGGGGGTAATGAGTCTGGGTGGGATGCTTTTTGGAGGGTCAGTGTGGACCCGATGGGCCAAATGGCCTAATTCCACACTGTAGGGATTCTACGAATTGAAAATGTTTCAGTTTAACAAAACCAGAAATTGCTAGCACCACAAACGACTTTCCGCTTTCTCTCCACAGATGCTGCCAGACCTGCTGAGTTTTTCTAGCAATTTCTGTTTTTGTTTCTGATTTCCAGCAGATTCTTTCAGGTTTTTTGTTTCATTTTAAACTGATTAAGTCTATGTAGGGTTCAAGGTGTGATTCCTGTATAATCTGGCTTGGCTTTTCCTGTTCCTATTTTCCAGCTTGTTGGTTGATTGTGTTGACAGGAAAGCTGAAGAGGAAATTGGACAGAGGTGTTCAAATCCATGATCAGTTTTGATAGGTTTCACAAAGACTATGAAAAAAAAAGTTGTTTCTACTGACAGGGATTGGTCAAGAGAGAACACAGTTTCAGGTGGTTGGGAACAGAACCAAAGTCTAGATACAAAATCCTTCCCCAGCCCCACCTCTCCTCTCTCTATTTATTTCTGAGCTCGCTACCCTCTCCCCATTTCTGAAGAAGGGTCCCGACCCGAAACGTCAACTTTCCTGCTCCTCTGATGCTGCCTGGCCTGCTGCGTTTCTCCAGCTCCACACTGTGTTATCTCTGACTCCAGCATCTGCAGTTCTGACTATCTCTAGACAAAAAAAAATGTTTTTTTTCTTAAATACACACAACTTACGGTTTGGAATGTGTCTGTTTGGGAAGCAGATTCGACGTAACATTTTGAAAGGAAGTTGTGAACTTTATGAGGCTATGTAGAAAGAGTACAATGAGCCAGCGCAGGATTAATGGACAGAATGGCCTTTTGTGCTGTACGATCCTACACTCCATGAAGAAGCCTGTTGTTTTAGGTCCATTTAGAGTCATAGAGCTGTACAGAATGGAAACAGCTTTGGTCCAACTCGTCCATGCTGACCAGATATCCTAAATTAATCGAGACCCATTTGCCACCATTTGGCCCCTCCAAACCCTTCCTATTCATATACCCATCCAGGTGCCTTTTAAATGTAATTGTACCAGCCTCTACCACTTCCTCTGGCAGCTCATTCCACACACGCACCACCCTCTGCGTGAAAATGTTGCCCCTTATGTCCCATTTAAATATTTCCCCTCTTACCTTAAACCCATGCCCTCTAGTTTTGCTTTCCCCCATCTTGGGGAAAAGGCCTTGTCTATTTACCCTATCCATGCCCCTCATGATTTTATAAACCTCTATAAGGTCACCCCTCAGCCTATGACACTCCAGGAAAAATAGCCCCGACCTATTCAGCCTCTCCCTATGGCTCAAACCCTCCAACCTGGCAACATCCTTGTAAATTGTTTCTGAACCTTTTCAAGTTTCACAACATCCTTCCTATAGCAGGGAGAGCAGAATTGCACACAGTATTCCAAAAGTGGCCTAATCAATGTCCTGTACAGCTGCAACATGACCTCCCAACTCCTATACTCAATGCACTAACCAATATAGGCAAGCGTACAAAACACCTTCACCAGATATTATATCTATATTTGAGGTGTTTATTGTATCAGGAACTGGAAGAACTGATTTATAGATGTGGGGTCTCCTCATCTCATTTCACTTTGCGGGCCTAGGCCAGGCCACACCTGGGACACTTTTTGTTCTCCTGGACCAAGACAAGTTATACTTGCTGTAGAGGGAATGCAGCAAAGGTTCATCAGGCAGATTCCTAGAGGGATAGATTTGTTGTTTAAGAAGAGGCTTGGGTTGACTGGGTCTGTATCCACTGGAGTTTAGGAGAATGAGAGGGGATCTCATTGAAATGTATTAAATTCTGACAGGGCTGGACACAGGGATGATGTTCCCACTGTCCAGGGGTCCAGAACAAGTGACTGTGGTCTCAGGAAATAGAGTACACCATAACTCACTAAGATGCAGATACCTTTCTTAACTCAGTGGACAGAAATCTTTTTTAATAGAATCCCCACAGCATGGAAACAGGCCACTCAGCCCTACAAGTCCACACCGACCCTCTGAAGAGGGAATGCAGCAAAGTCCACAACCCCTCTGAAGGGCATCCCACCCAGATCCATCCCCCTACCCTATCACCCTGTATTTCCCATGCCTAATACACCTAACTTACACATCCCTGGATTCAATAGGTGATTTAGCATGGCCAATCCACCTAACTTGCACATCTTTGGACTGTGGGAGGAAACCCACACAGACACAGGCAGAACATGCAAACTCCACACAGACAGGTGCCCGAGGGTGGAATCAAACCCTGGTCCTTGGCACTGTGAGGCAGCAGTGCTAACCACTGAGCCACCATACCACCAATGTCAAACCTGTGGAATTTTCTACTACATAAGGAGGCCAAGTTGCTGAATATATTTCAGAAATAAAGAGATTTCTAGAGTCTAAATGTGTCAAGTGGGATTGAAAGAGAGAGAGTAGGAGTATAGCATTGAGATAAAGGATCAGCCATGATTTAGTTCAGTAGCAGAACAGGGTGGAGGGGCTGAAAGGCCTACTCCTTGTCCTGACCCACTATCAAGAAGGGTCAAATACTAAATAAAAACTGAAATAACTGCAGATTCTGTAACTCAGGAACAAAAACAAAGTTGCTGGAAAAGCTCAGCAGGTCTGTTCTGAGGGAGGGTCACCGGACCAAAACATTAAGTCTGATTTATTTCTTCACAGATAATGCCAGACCTGCTGAGCTTTTCCAGCAGCTTCTGTTTTGGGTCAAGAACGGTCCTTTGTTGAACCATGGCAGTACCTGGGTGTGTGCGAGTGTAAGAAAATAGTTGCAGAAGAGGAATGAGCATTCTGTAATGACGTCGAACAGATATGACAATGGTTTGATTTCTGTGTCTTCACTAATTTCAGACAGGCGAAGTACATTACGTGAAACATCTCAAATATGCTACATGGCCTGATCATGGCACACCAAACTCGTCAGAGCATCTTGTGCGGTTCATTCTCTGTATGAGGGAGGTGCCCAATCTGGGACCGATTGTCGTCCATTGCAGTGCTGGGATCGGGAGAAGTGGCGTCCTAATCTGCACTGATGTACTGTTGAGCCTGATTAATAAAGAACTCAGCGTAAGTGAAGGAAATGTTCTTGGGAAGTTCTTTCTGTTCAGCTAAGATGCTTTTGTTTGCAATTATTGTCCTTCTGGTACTCCTGTGATTCAAGGACACGCAGTCCAGCTCCTGTTGATAACCACATAAAAAAAGTAGCCAGAGACACTCAGCAGGTCTGGCAGTAACTGTGGAGAGGAAGCAGAGCTAACATTTCGAGCCTAGTGACCCTTCTTCAGAGCTGAACCCTTGGTTAACATTAACTTGGCTTTCTCTGTCCACGAATGCTGCCAGATCTGCTAAGTTTCTCCAGCTCTTTCTGTTTTGTTTCGGATCTTCATTATCTGCAGTTCTTTGCTTTATTATCTTGTTGCGAACCAAGCTAGTTGGTATCTTGTGGCTTTCTGTTAGAATTTCTTCTCATGCACTGCCAGCTCATTTCTCTTCACTCAATCACTCTTGTCTGAATCGTGGGGAAACTCTGGATGCCAACATCAGCCTAGCATGGGATTTGAGGTCTTATCTCCTGCCTCTCTTGAACAGTGTTGGTTCCGCAGAACCTCTGTAGTGAAGGCAAGTTTTATTAATGTTTCTGGTGTATTTTAAACCCAGTTAAAATCCAGAACTCTATCCAGACTCTGGAATCAGATCCAATTGGAGCTTTAAAAAGTGAGATGATGGTCTTTATCACTGAGAAGGAGAAGGGGCAGCAGGTGCAGAGGGCATCAATATCTGCCAGTTCCCCTTTCAACCATACACAATTCAAACTATATCACTGTACTTTCATTGTCACTGGGTCAAAGTTCCAGAAATCCCTTTCTAGAAGCACTGTGGGTGCACCTGCACCACAACGACTACAGCAGCTCATAGAATCAGAGAGATGTACAGCACGGAAACAGACCCTACGGTCCAACGCGTCCATGCTGACCAGATATCCTAAATTAATCTAGTCCCATTTGCCAGCATTTGGCCCATATCCCTCTACACCCTTCCTATTCATGTACTCATCCAGGTGCCTTTTAAATGTTGTAACTGTACCAGCCTCCCCCATTTCCTCATTCCATACACGCACCACCCTCTGCATGAAAAAGTTGCCCCTTGGGTCCCTCTCACCTTAAACCTATGCCCTCTAGTTTTGGACTCCCCTACCCTGGGAAAAAGACCTTGGCTGTTCACCCTATCCATGCCCCTCACGATTTTATAAACCTCCATAAGGTCACCCCTCTGCAACTGACAGTCCAGGGAAAAGAGCCCCAGTCTGTTCAGCCTTTCCCTATTGAAGGCATTTCATCACCAATTTGCAAGAGCAATTCGGGATGGCATGTTAACGCTGACCAAACCAGCAACACCCACATCCTGCGATAGAATGATGAGAAGGATATGGAGCAAAGGCAAGCGGATGGAGTTGATGTACAGATCGGCCATGGTCTATCTGAATGGAGGACTAGGCTGGAGGGGCTGAATGGTCTACTTCTGTTCATCATCTTCCTAGAACGATAAATACAGTGATAAACTATTGGAATTACAAGTGGTCTGTGTCGTCAATGCACTGTTTTAACAAGTTAACCATTTGCATTATTGCTTTAAATGGATAATACAAAGGCATGGAGGATAGTGAGTTCATATGTAGAAGCATGGAATCCCTACATCGTAGAAGCAGGCCATTTGGCGCATAGGGTCGACACCGACCATCTAAAGTGTCACACCCAGACAAACCCCTTTAGCCTATCCCTATAACCCTGCATTTCCTACAGCTAACCCACCTAGCCTGCACATCCCTGGACACTATGGGCAATTTAGCATGGCCGATCCACCTAACCTGCACATCTTTGGACTGTAGGAGGAAAGCGGAGCACTCGGCAGAAACCCACACAGATGCTTCCTCCCCTCGCTAAGTAAATCATGTAAAAAGTACACAGAATCACAAAGGCTACACACTCGCACAGACCCAAAATCCTCATGGGCTGTAAAATGGTCTATGTCGGAGAATGGGGACAATGGATAACATATTGGAAAGTGAACATTAAAGAAATAACAGTGAGGCTGGAGGATAAGATTGAAAAAAAATTGCAAGAAAGAGAAGGAAGTTTAAAATAAGAAAATGTGAAGCTGCACACTGTCCTGACTCGGAAATATATTGTTGTTCCTTCACTGTCATGGTGTCAAAATCCTGTAACCTCCTTCTTAACAGCATTATGAGTGGCCTTACACCACATGGACTGCAGTGATTCAAGACCCAGCACCATGACAAAGGTGGTTAGGGATGGGTAATAAATGCTGACCTAGCCAGCAAACACTCCAGATAAGTAATGATAAGTGGAACATTTGTTACAATGAATGTGTTAAGTATTTGTCCTACATTCCACTGTCTGCTGTTGTCATATCTTTTAATACTTTCAGTGGTTTCAGTGGTTTGATGGCAATTGGAGTACGGCTCTATAACCTACCTAATCTACACATCCCTGAACACTACGGGCAATTTAGTATGGCCAATCCACCTAACCTGCACATCTTTGGACTGTGGGAGGAAGCAAAGCACCCGGAGGAAACCAACGCAGACATGGGGAGAATGTGCAAACTCCATACAGACAGTCACCCGAGTGTGCAATAAAACCCAGGTCCCTGGTGCTGTGAGGCAGCAGTGCTAACCACTGAGCCATCATGCCACCCTTTGCAGTTCCTGCAGTGTTTTGTGGTTGGGATGGAACAGCTGATTTTGGATCAGACCTGGGCCATTCGGAGATCCAACTTCCCATTAGAGACCGAGAAGAACACACAAAATGGAAGTAGGAGCAGGTCATTTAGCTTCTGGAGCCTGCTTTACCACTCAACAAGATAGTGATTGATCTGACTGTGTCCTTAACTCCACTTTCATATCTGCCCCAAAACCCTTGACTCTCCAACTGTCTAACACAGATATATCCAATGACCCAGCTTCCACTGTTCACTGTGAAACATCATTCCAGAGACTAATGATATTCTGAGAGAAATTTCTTCTCATCTCCATGTTAAATGGAAAACCCATTATTTTTAATCTGTGCTCCTTCAAACCTGATCACCCCCCCAACAATGAACAAATTCTCTCGCAATCTGACCTTACACCTTTGGGGGCGACACGGTGGCACAGTGGTTAGCACTGCTGTCTCACAGCGCCAGGGACCTGGGTTCGATTCCAGCCTCGGGCGACTGTCTGTGTGGAGTTTGCACATTCTCCCCGTGTCTGCGTGGGTTTCCTCCAGGTGCTCCGGTTTTCTCCCACAGTCCAAAGATGTGCAGGTTAGGCAGATTGGCTATGCTAAATTGCCCATAGTCTTCAGGGAGGTGTATATTAGGTGGGTCATAGGGGGATGGATCTGGGTGGGATGCTCTGAGGTTCAGTGTGGACTTGTTGGGCCAAAGGGCCTGTTTCCACACTGTAGGGATTCTAATTCTACACACCCTTTTAGAGTCTTCTCTGTTTCAATGAGGTCAACTTCTATTCTTCTAAACTCCAACATATAAAGGCCCAATTTGCTCAAACTTTCTCCATATGACAATACCCTTCATCCGAGGAATCAGCCCAGAGCGCCTTCTCTGAATTGCTTTCCTGTTAAGAACATGCCAGGCAGCTTCCAAAGTCGTTCTCTAGGATGCCACAGGCTTTAACTGGGGGCACGGGAGGTACTGTTGTCCAGCATTTGGCCTGTGAAGCAAACATGAAATGGGTGGCACAACTGGAATGCAAGGGCCTGATCATCACCCGAAATTGGTCCTCAAAAAAAGTTCTGGGAAAGGAAGTGCTGAGAAGAGAGAGGGCAACAGGTTGAGCAAGTAATATCTGGCACCACCCACGGTGATACTGTTAAACTAAGGGATGAAGAGGTCCTGTAGAAAGTTCTGGAGAGAATCTAACATGTGGCATGAGAACTGAGACATCATGTTACAGCTGTACAAGACAATAGTAGGGCATATTTGGAGTATTGCGTATAATTCTGGTCGCCCTGCTACATGAAGGATATTATTGAACTGGAAAGGGTGCAAAAAAGATTTACAAGGATGTTACTAAGACTAGAAGGTTTGAGTTAGATGGAGAGGTTGGATAGGTTGGGACTTTTTTACATGGAACTTAGGAGACTGAGGGATGACCTTACAGAAGTTTAGAAAATCATGAAGGGCACAGATAGGGTGAATAGCCAAGGTCTTCATCCCAGGCTAGGGGAGTCCAGAACTAGAGGGCATAGGTTTGAGGTGAGAGGGGAAAGATTTAAAAGGGACCTGAGGGGCAACATTTTCATACAGAGAGTGGTGTGTATATGGGAATGAGCTTCCAGAAGAAGTGGTAGAGGTGGGTAGAATTATACCATTTAAAAGACATTTGGACGGTACGTGGATAGGGAAGGTTTAGAGGGATATGGGCCAAGCACCGGCAAATGGCACTAAGTCACTTTGGAAAACCCAGTCAGCATGGATGAGTTGGGATGAAGGGCCTGTTTCCATGCTCCATGACTGTAACTGACAGGTTATAAATGTCAGGAATGACTGAACTAGCTCGTGCCCTTTTCTCTAACGACATCTGCAGTGTAAGGACTTCAGGATCCTGGATCAACCTTGCAAAATGGAGCTGAACATCACTGAGCATAAACAGCCCAGTATGGGTGGAGTTCTAATACTCTAGAATGAGAGAGAGTCTTGAGAGCACATGGACATGAACTCATGAAGATGATGGATCAGTCCTTACCTAATGTAGCTATAAGATCAGAGCCTGATATATTTATAAAAGAGCTCCATCTCAGATGTGCACCTTGGTTCAGAATGAACAGGTTCCTTATTGAGAACAACATCTAGCAGCACGTCAGCAATATTACCGGCAGACAAAGGATGCATGACAGTAATCCTTAATAGAGTCCAATACATTCGAGAAAGCTAATACACTACTAGCAGATACCGACACCTACCAACAGATGGCAATAGACCCAATGCCACTGTTAGAGAACTGGATCAAAAATGACCCTGAAGAAATTAAATGACTCAGGAGACATCAG